GTTTGAAGTTTTATATCTAAGTTTAATGTTACTTACATGTAGATAAAACCTGGTAATGGATAATTTAAAGGCAGCTAGTTTAATTGTGATCAATTATTTAAGTAAATTAATATTCTTTAATATAAAATATAATCACAAAACATAAATAAAATGTTATGTATGCGCAAGCGCAAAATCGTCCAAGAATCGTTCCGTTTCACGAGACAATCTCGGTGTGTGACGTTATACCTCGTCTGGACAAACATTCCGGTATACGGAACGCACCCTAGCAGTGCGACGGCAGATTGACGCAACAAATCGAGAGCAGGTTTGTCAACTGCAGACCGACAACAGATTAGCGCCAAATGTCCAGCAGATCTACGACAATTTTCGACGACAAAAATTAGATCAGTTACAGTATTAATATATAATAACACATATTAATATGTTAAAACATATAAGTAAATTTAAATAATTTAATTTATAATATTAATGATTTTTTTGGACAGGAATTGTTCGAATAAGTAAAAATTGAACAATGATTTGTCCGATTTTCCAAAAATCAGTTTAATATTTGAATTATCCTGTATAGGCATCGTGTCAAAAATTGAAGTAGTAGAAATAGATATATTACAATATTATTAGTCACATTTTGTAGGCTTTATATATACTCATGACAAAAACTTAAATACGAGTATAGATAATGAATAATACGCCGCATAGCGGTAAGCGACTGAACTACACTGATCAAATAACAGAATTTTGTAATACTTTGTAATATTCTGCTTGGTTTTTGCTGCCAATATGCCGTTAGATTGCGCACGCCAGATCTTGCTCAGTTTGTGCCGACAATCTGATGCCAGTCTGTCAGTCATGTCAGCAAGCTTTGCTTGGTTTCCGCCGCCAATTTGCTATCGGGTTATGCCAGCAAGGTTTGCTCGGTTTTTGCCGTCAATCTGCCAGGTTAATCAGTAATAACAACTTTTGTACCAAATTTGTAGCCTTTTTGCAAACAATAATTTGTAGTAAGCACTTGCCAAAATCTGTTAGAACGGACTTGGCTAAGTGGGCACATATCGACCTCTGTCTAGAGTAACAAGCACGATTGATCAAACACGATTGACCAAGCACGATTCGTGTTCAATTGGCTAATTGGCCAGTTGAACCCTGCCCGACATAGATTTGTTCCGTTTCCATAATGAGATGAATGTAAGAGTGGGAATATTCATACAGTGAACATAGGATAGACAATGGGTTTTGCGATGTACATCTAGCGTAAATGCTGGTAATCTATCCACTAGAGCCATCACGTGATGACGGTGGAAGATTGTATTATTAATTGGGAGCAGAAGAGGAGGCTGCTTAGGCGTAGTAGTTTAGGATGAGCTACTCGAGAAGGATCATCCATAGAGGCTTCGCATTTCCTTGTGAGCAATCAACCAGTCCTGGCAGCTGCATATGACTTTTGCTCTGGAGATGTGCTGGGTATGTCGTCTCTCCGTGGCGATCGGCACTGCATCCATTGAGCGAGATTACAACATCGCTCTGGAGTCATATAAATTGTGTTAAAGTGGCATAAGGTGTGAGATCTGAATAGCTCAGTGGTGCTTTGAAAGAGCACTTACTCGGAAAGCGAAAGACTCGGGTTCGATTCCCGATTCAGCCACACGTACCTCGCATATTCTTTCAGGTCCGCAAATATTGTTTTCTAACAATTATTTGTCGGACCGGAAAAGTATGTAAAAGCCCTACACAGATACGACAGTGCTGCTGCTACGGAAGGGATGATTGTTTGGTTTGTTGCCTCCTGCCATCTTAAATCCCCCTGTCACTTCAGTCTGTTCTTTATAGCTGAACTGGCTACGCTAGTTCAGAGTTTATTTTTTTCTCTCCACATTAAAAGGAGGAAGATAAACTTTGAATTAGTGTAGCCAGTTCAGCTTAGTTCAGCTATAAAGAACAAATCCAATGTCTATCTTATGTTCACCGTATAAGTATCCTCGCTCCTACGTTCATTTCACTAGGGAAACGAAACGAATCATTGTCGGGCAAGGTTCAACTAGCCAATTGGCAATATAGGCTTATCAGATTGTATGAGTGGGGATACACATACGGTGAACGTAGGATAGATATCCCTACTCCTACGTTCACCTTGCTAAGGAAACGGAACGAATCATTGTGGGGCAGTGAATACTAGTGCCGATATTCATAGGCCGGTATTCAGTCCGTTCTTATATTTAAAATCATCTCAAGTATAGTCTTAAGAGTATGATCTGCTATGTGGCCATTTCATTGGTTGAATGGGATCTTAAGACGACCACACTTAAGACGATCTTGGATATAAGAACAGACTATGAATACCCGAGTAAGGAACATGCTCCCTACTCCTACGTTCACCTTGCTAAGGAAACGGAACGAATCATTGTGGGGCAGTGAATACTAGTGCCGATATTCATAGGCCGGTATTCAGTCCGTTCTTATATTTAAAATCATCTCAAGTATAGTCTTAAGAGTATAAGATACTATGCGGCCATTTCATTGGTTGAATGGGATCTTGGATCTTAAGACGACCACACTTAAGACGATCTTGGATATAAGAACAGACTATGAATACCGGTTTACAACCGACTTTCTAATTGATCAATCGTGTTGATTACCCTAGGCATTAATTGATATACAGAAGGCGTTATTGAGCGCATTCAACGGACTCAACAATTGAGCATCATTTTGTCAACACTCGCGTAGAATTGCAGATTTTGGAGATGATGAATTGATGAATAATATTTGTAATATTCAATTTTATTGCATCTATATTAATATAATTGTATTTGTCAGACATATTTTATCTTTTGTGTTTCTGCTTTTAACAGTTGATAAGGTAGGTCGTGTTCTGTCCTTGCTGTGTTTTTGCTATCACAATGTAAGTGCAGATCATGCTCAATTTCTGCTGCACTTCTGCCGTCAATGTCTGATATGATAGATTTTGCTCGATATTTACTGTTACAATGTAATAATAAACAATGTTCGATTTTTGCTGCATTTTCACTGTCATATTACATCAGCAAGATGTATGTACTCTCAGAAATTAAGCCTAATGAACACGCAGCAGATCGGAATCTGCTATAAAGTTATAATTAAATTTGCTGCCATACTGATAGCATTTTGTTATTTGGTTAGCCAAGTTTGTCGAGAGCAGATCTTGCCAAGTGTCTGCCACAAATTATTATCAGCAAAAAGACTACAAATTTAGAACAGGAGCTGTTATTATTAAATCAGCAAATTAGCGACAAAAACCGATCAGAATCTGCGTGCGCGCAACTTGATAGCAGATGAGCAGCAGAAATCGAACAGAATCTGCATTTCCTAACCAGAAAGAGAAGTAACCCTGAATAGAAGAGTAAGAGGCGCCGCACAATAAAAGGAATAAGAAACAAGGAATAGAGAACAGAGAACAACCGCATTGGAGGGAATGCGCACATAACACTTGTGTTTCTGTCTCTAATCCTTATTCCTTTTATTGTGCGGAGTCCCTAATGTACAATGTCAGGTTATATTAGTAAATCAAGCTTAATTTTTGCCATCAGATTCTGAGCAGACTCTGTCGGTATCATAAGTCTAATATGGACATATGATACCGACAGAGTTTGCTCAAAATCTGATGGCAAAAATTAAGCTTGATTTACTAATATAACCTGACATTGTAAGTCTAATATGGACATAACTGACGTCAATTTGTTAGCAACTTCTGAGTAAATCTGTTGCCATAATGCGCAATCTGCTGACATATTATACGCAGTTTGCCTACTGGAAAATATTGAATGCATTTTTATCAAGATCTGAAATAAGCAAGTTAAAATAAATATTTATCACATTTAATCGTAATTAATCAAATACGAAGAATCGTTATTTTTTATAATAAATTGTTTTGAATATCGATTCTGTTTCTCGACATCGCCTACCAATATAACCTTCTTTTTTTTCTATGATTTAAATTGGCATAGATTGTACATGGGGTAAGGTCCGTATCAGACTACGCATTGAAAATTGAAGATTCAAGATTAAAGATTGGAATTTAACTAATCAGAACAAAAGGAACTAAAATTTCTTTATTCTGATTGATCAAATTTCAATCTTGAATCTTGAATCTCAATCTTTAATGCGTAATCTGATACGGGCTTAAGGGGCTCCGCACAATAAAAGGAATAAGGAACAAGGAATAGAGAACAGAGAACAACCGCAGTGGAGGGAATGCGCACACAAGTGTTGTGTGCGCAGTCCTTCCACTGCAGTTGTTCTCTGTTCTCTATTTCCTGTTCCTTATTCCTTTTATTGTGCGCAGGCTCTAAGTTCCAATCTCTCAGTTATCCAGGGGCGTAATCTCGTTCTTTCACAGGGGAAAGAGGTCCATTATTAAGAAAATTGGGTCCCGTCCGGCATGCGCGTGTGCGCGAAACGCACCGCGCTTGGAAGGGAGTCCGGGGAGGTTTCTCCCCGGAGAAATTTTTTAAAAATGGCCGTGTTTTCGTGGATTTTAGCACATTTTAAAGATCTCGAAACTGTTTTACAATAGATAATATTTTGGTTTAAAAAGTTGGTGTAAAAAACCCAGATTATTTTCGCAGATTTTAATGTATTTTTATGGAATTTGAAACTGTTGAAAAATTGGAGAAATATTATTTTATAAAAATCACCGATGGTATCGTCTTAGAAAAATATTAAAAATTGCGATTTCATGCATTTTAATAATTTTCGCCTTAAATCATTGTCTTGCGCTTATTTTTGCAATATAAAAAATGTGCTTGTTATAGTACATATTATTTTGTCATACCCTAAATTTTTCTAATACAATTTTATGCTTTAAGTTGAATACTCTAAACCAGGTCTAAAATAAAGCCAGATGTAGCCTAAGGCGGAACGGATCCCCTCTGGCTCTGGCCCACGTAGTTTATGCCACTGCAGTTATCAACAATTATCAATAAAAAAAAATAGATGAAAAAATAGGTGAATGATAATATCCTCTTGGGTTCCATTGAGAACGGTAAAACCAAGCAAAACACAAAAAGTGGGTCCAAACAAAGGACACGCGCGGAAATGCGTTTCGACACGTCCATTTCCGTCCGCGAGCGGTAACGAACTCGACCCAATATAACCGACTGAGTCAACTGCGCAGTAGGCATTAGTCAACGAGTGTCAGCCTCGTCGTCAGTATCGCCGCCATTTTATATAACAGTTGTGGCTTGGCGATCGTGATCGTGGTCAGTGTTGTACGCGAATGTACTTGCTCAGATATTTCCGAATTGTTCGGTGATAATTCATGCCTTTATACTAAAACAACTTTGTTATGAAGACGTGATTATGGTGTAATATTGGTGGTTTTAAATCGATATATAACATTAGTGTGTGGTATTCCTTCTATTTAATGACACAACACGTTTATATTCAGGTACAGCGTGCCGATTTTCTTATATCGATTTTATTACTTTACTTTCAATTTATAATCAATGTCTTATATAAAATGCACATATTGTACAATTCGAGAATGATTCGCTTCTTCTTGTCAAAAATAATATAAATCAGATCTTGCATTATATTGAATTAGATACATAACATTAACATATGTTTTCATGCCATTAAAATTTCAATAAATCACTTCTGTACAAATGTGCATTCATAACCTTATGCTTAGATTGATTATATTCTTATATCAGATGCATGTATATATATATATACAATCTCTAATGGTGCAATATATATGTAGCGCTAATTGATAGCCAATGTGCTAATTTATTGAGTTTTTAATTTTGAAACTAAATTATTTGCTTGTATAAATACTTTTTACTATTGCTTTTTAATATCTACTTGATGAGTTTTAATAACATAATATATAATTTGATATGTTACAGGAGGAGTAAGCGTACTACAAGCGTTGTGATATGGCTAGAGTTCTATTATACGAGAGAGTAGTGGATGCTGTACTCACACATGCAAATTCATCAGTAAGTACTTTTATAATTATATCTAAGCAAATAGCTAGCAAATTTTTATAATTAAATTCTTTGTTAATACATCTATGCATATAGAACTTAAGAGGTTTTATTTATATTTTACATTGAGCATTTTGATCGTAAATATTTTGGGATATCAGTACTTAATCTTACATGAGAATGCTTTAAATTTAATAAAATCTTTATTTGGATATTTAATTATTTGCTGTATATATCTGAAATTGAAGAACATTGGTTTATATATGTTCAATCACTTATTAATCAAGTGATGGTCGGCATTGATTTAGGAGATATAACAAATTAAAGTTTCACAGTTTTAATGCTTTTATTCAGGTAATATAAAGCAATATTAGAAAAAGTGAGGTTTGTGTACGTTATATTTGTTGTAGGGTAGACATGGAAAAAGTGTTTGTTAACATTTACATAGGGGTAGGTACATGACCATAGATACTTAATCAATAATCGGTTTTATCTATTTCTCACAGTTCGTTAACAGCTTTCAACATGCGACTACATGAACTTCTGTGTCATGTCTTTAAAAATATTATTTATCGAATGCGTTGGCGGGGAAGGGGGTCTGCCCGTCTCCCTGTATGCCCACCCGAAAAAATCCTAACCTAACTCAACCCAACTTTATTTTTAAAACTGAAAATAGATTTGGGTTAGGTTATATCTTCCGGAAGTGGAGCCCCCCCCGGTAAGGGGGCGGAACCCACTGTGCCCACGCATATACTTTACAACGCGAAGCGAGATCCACCCCACAATTGTTGTGTGGATGGGAAAGTATATGTATGGACGCAGTGGGTTCCCTCTCCCCCCTCTATGGGGGCTCCACTTCCGGAAGGTATAACCTAACCTACGTCTGATTTAAAATTAAAGTTTATGCTTCTGTTTATGCTTATATTAATGCTTCATAACTTTTGAACGGATCGTAACCGCCACTTTGTTTAAGGTCAGGGTCACTCAGGACGATGACCTTGACAATATACAGGGTGTCCTAGACCACCCGTACACCCCTTTTCTTTCAAAAACTAAGCATTTTAGAGAAAGACGTTTTGAACAAAAATTGTATGGTTTTGAGGGGAACATAAGATGGTGTCATTGGTTTGACCTTGGATGGCATCGTTAAGGTCAAGTCAAGGACACCTTTAATTTCTTAAATGGAATCCCTTATTTTTTATTGCACATTCTTGTAGCTTATCATCCAAGGTCAAACCAATGACACCATCTTATGTTCTCCTCAAAACCATACAATTTTTGTTCAAAACTTTTTTTTCTAAAATGCTTAGTTTTTGAAAGAAAACTAATTAAACTCTGTATAATTACCTTGCAAACCTATGTTATAATACGTAAAGAATAGCATTAAAACTGTGAAACTTTAATTTGTTATATCTCCTAAATCAATGTCTACCGCTACTTGATTCTTGCGGGGAATTATTCAGAACACTCCCCCCTATAACATAGATATGTTAAGATAAGTGGCGATTAAATCGATGAAATATGATCTTTTATGCATATTTATCCAAGGATTAATCTCAGATCAGATTATATTAGATTAAGTTAAGTTTATGTAAAGTAAAGGCAAAGGAGGGAAAAACTTCAATAGCACATATCTACACTTATCGACCGATGCCTAGAGTCAATCAGTACGATTAATCAATCAGAAGAGACTAGTATTTAGCTGGCCAATTGGTAATGTGGACTATTGGATCTTGCTCGATTTTTAGACGCATGCGCATGTACTTTAGTAAGGTCACGCATGTGTCGGAAAATCCCGCGATCTGGAATCACTAAATGAAATCTAAGGCCGGTATTCATAGTCCGTTCTTATATTTAAGATCATCTTAAGTGTGGTCTTGGATTGTCTTAAAATCCCATTCAACCAATGAAATGGCTGCATAGCATCTTAAAACTGTCTTAAAATAATCTTAAATATAAGAACATACTATGAATACCAACCAGGTTTTGTAGTTGTGACTCAAAATCCTTACGTTAGTTTGCGTCAAATAGAATTAGTCAGAGCATATACTCTATGCTTTATCGCTATAAATTTCGTTTGAACTATCTTAGTCTGTAGTCTAAGAATTAAATGGCATTTCATAAATCAGGTTGAATTTTATCGATGGGCTCAACGAGATTATTTGAAGAAATAATATATTTATTTAATAGAACTTTCTGAGGAGGGCAAGATGGAGTATGTCACTGATTGACTGTTTTTTAATTGTTATGAACGAAAAGATGTTAAAAATCTTTCAAAAACGGGAAGGTCGGTAATGGCAACAAATGGCAAGAAATCTAGACATTATGTAGTCTTTTATGAAAAATCCTTGCCTATTTACGCGCAAAGCTGCAAAACATAATATTGACAAAAAATTCCATAAAATTCTGAAAATAAATAAATTCCATTTTTATAAAATGAGTTTTACGCAAGAATTGTCTGCGAACGATTTTTATCGTTGAGTTGAATCTTGCGAGAGAATAACGATTGAATTTGAAAATCGCAATTTCTAGACAAAAATACTTTTTTTTTTAGATGAAGCAACATTCGAGATCACCGAAAATGTAAATTGATACAACTGCAGATATTAAAACGACGAATATTCTCACTGGATATACGAATTTGTACGCAGTATTCTTGGATGGTCAATGTCTGAGTAGGAATTTAGAATGATAACTTGATAACTTGAACTTTTTTTCATTGAAAGAAATTTTAATTCTTAGATATATGCTTAGAAACAGTATTATTTTAGCATTATAACAAGTCGCTGGTCAAAACTTCAACAATATTTGGTTTTAACAAAATGATGTATTTATTATAGTGTCTGTATATATGTAATTATTTAAACTACGTTTTTTCTGGTAGGTAGATAGGAAGGAGAAGTATTGATTTGACTAAACATGATCTCTCTCCGGATTTGTCTTTATTCGATTATTTTTTGGGAGATATTTAGAGTTGAATTTACACCCATATTAAGTTGGCCCCCCACCAACGCCAAATAAAGTCGTATCTATCAAATAATTTAGTGCTAATTATGTGCTAATTTGTTGCCGTAATCCAGATTTTGTTGCTCAAACCGTTTAGCAGGAATTTACGTTCAAGGTGGGGGGGGGGGGGCTTGACATTAAGCTAGCCCCCCCATAATGAAAAAATATATAGAATGCTCAAATAAAAAAATCAATTACACCAGAATTTGTTGCTATTTTGTTGCTCTAAAATAACGTGAAAACATTTTGAAAAAAGTATATTATTTAATTAATATCACTATACACTCAGTCTCGCCGCGCTGTGCCATCCACTTGCGCGAAATAAAAGTAACTGAAAGAATTTGTTGCTTGCATGTTTTTGGTATTAAAATAATCTATGGACAATATACTATTGAAATATACGAGATTTAATTTGTTGCTCGTTTTAAAGTATTGAAATTCGACACTTTGTCTTCGCGGACCCAATATGATGCGGTCTTATACTATATAAGTTAACTAAAAGAATTTGTTGCTCGCATGTTTTTGGTATTAAAATAATCTATGGACATTATACTATCGAAATATATAAGAGATCGAATTTGTTGCTCATCTTAAAGTATTAAAACTCGACACTTTGTCGCTGCGGACCCAATACGACGCGCACTATCATAACGTAAATTAACTAAAAGAATTTGTTGCTCGCACGTTTTTGGTATTAAAATAATCTATAGACAATATACTACCAAAATATATAAGAGATTGAATTTGTTGCTCATTTTAAAGTATTAAAACTCGACACTGTCGCCGCGGACCCTATATGACGCGGTCTTTTATATTGTAGGAATGAACGTGAAGGAAGAGATAATATTCTTCTTTTTATAAATCCACTCGTTTATTCAAATTAATGGCCGTTGAGGCCGGTACACGTGCTATGTATACTTCGTAGGAAGTCGGAGTATTCGTGGTCGAGTCAGTTAGGAAACGAAAGAGCTTTAAGTATAAAGAACCGTGGTCGATTATAATAACTTTATCTCTAAGAACGCTGAACTGATTATTAAGATCCGTTTTACTATTCTGAACCGTCTTCTCTGTTTTTTCGTCTACCTTTATATCTACTGCTCCCTCTCTGCGCTGGAGCTTCGATAGATATCGAAACGTGGTGGAGCTTCTCGATTCGCTGCTTCTAACTATTGATATCTCGCGTTCTATCGGATCGTCTTCGCTATTACTAACGGGTGTTTGAAATACACATATTTTCTTACAACTCGGCCAGCCTGATAGGGCATTCGTCTCGAATGTCTCGATTTTAGAAGTATGAATATTAATTAATACATCTTGATTATTAACTAATTTATCTTAACTATTAACTAATTTATCTTATCCTATTACAAGTATTCAACATATATATCTTAATCTACATATAACAGATTTAGGTTCGTTAAATTTTTACTTATGTTAATTTCGGATGTAAATGTTTTATCCACGGTTTTAATTTGTCCGTTGTGAGAATCGAGTTATATGGTTTGGAGGATACGTTAAATACGGGAATGTCTTGACGACGTATCTGTTTTTGTCTAACATTTTTGATATCATATATGGTTCCTTATGTAGGTTTTAGTTTCGCGCTTTGACCGGGTTTTATATGAAGATCTTTAATCATTACGTATTCATTAACTTTATATTTGATCGATTTCGCGTATTTACTGTCATAATATTGTTTATTATATTCGCGAAGTAGATTAGTCGTTTCCTCTGCTGTTTTATAATTCGGTTCTCGATCCGCGTTATCATCTATGTATGCTCATTGTCTAATCAGTTCTGTAAGAATCCTGTCTGAATTATTTCTATTATTGTAACCTAAGAGTAATTTGTTCGGAGTATTTTTAATTGCTGAATGTCTAGTATTTGTTATGGCATATTGCGTTTTATCTAATTTCGTGTTCCAATCGCTCGGTGATTTAACTAGTTTTTTGAGTGATGATTTAAGGAACCTATTTACTCTTTTCACGAGACCATTAGCCTATGGG